CACACACCCACACACACACAGAGAGCATGCATACAGATACAGCATCTTTAAGTAACGTAAATGTGAAATATAATAGGTAAAAAGTAGTGCTTCTAACATATACAAATTTTAATATTACCATTATTGTACAGTTAAATGGAACTATTACGCATATCTTTCCATTTCTAAAACAATGTATGCATCTAGTATTGCTGCATTTGATACCTCTTGGAAGAATTGGATCCGTCAACTCAACCCAGCAGACTGGTCCTGACCTTCTGAGACTAGCATTGACCTCTCCAGACTGAAAATCAAAGCAAAAATCTGGTAAAAACTATATAAAAATATTCCAGTTTTTGTGCATTCAACATTTTTGTAATTTTTTAAGGTTTTTTATTTTTTTTTTTAAATCTGGGTTGAAACAGTCTTGTTAATTGAAATACAGCTGAAATAAAATAAAATATAAATATTTAAAAGACCTTTAAGTGACCTTTAGTTTAAGCACTACAATTGCTAAAACTGAAACTGAACTAAACCCTAAAACTAAACCTGAAATAAATTAAACATAATTTTATTACAATAGTAATATAAAAAACAAGACTAAAACTTAATAAAACATCATAACCACATAACAAAATTACAAAAAAATGAACTGAAAAAAGCTAATTCAAAATTTATTATAAAATATTATATAAATAATACTAAAATAACACTTCTAACGGGACTTCTAACGGAAGCTGCAGTGACGCGCTGACTTTACCGGTTAGCGATTGGCTCTTTCATTCAGAAGGCGGGGCTTCCATATTAAGCGTTGCATTTTTACCCATTCAAATCTATACGAGTGACACGTCTTGAGTATTCTACAGTCTTTGCTATTGGTCAGTGTTAGAGGATCTCAGTTTAGCCTGACAGGTAGCCTGCTCCGGACCAGGGCTGCGTATTCAATAAGCATCATAAGCTTAAGTTGAAAGCAGCTCCCATTGGGTTCAATGTGTCTACGATGTACTTAAGCTTACGATGCTTTTGGGAAACGCAGCCCAGGTTAGTTTCCCAGCATAAGTTGCCACAGTGACTGAGCTTGAGCTAAGGTAAATTTGCTTTATGGAACCAAATCATTTGACAACGAGTCAGACTAACTGAAATAAGCCTGGCTTATTTGGTAAACTTGTTTTATGAAACAGCCCCCAGGATTTGGTAATTAACTAAACCATGGTGAAGTATGTGCATTACCGCTCCTGTCCTGCGGGGGCAGTATTGTGTCTGACCTGTAACTGGTCCAGTAGGGTCCCTCCTCGCACTGGTTTGCCCTCTGGGACAGTCGGAGGCACGTTACCTACATTCCTCCTCCTCAGATCCTCCAGTGTGGCCTCATGGGCCGCGATCTCGGCCTGAATGACCTGCAGAGAGCATTTTTAATGTTAAAGGCACAAGAGTAAAAGAGTATTATAGTATTATACAAGTAATATAATGATATATCTGTCATTGGTTATTGGATATCTCTGAATATCTACATGTCAGTGTAGATATGTGGTTTGAACGAGGAGCTCATACCTGAGCTTCCTGAGGCAGCTGGAAGGCGTCGATGCGGTCGGTGAGGTACAAGGTGAGCGTTTGGTCCAGCTGTGTGAGGGACGTCTGTAGTGTGTGTAACGCCGTCTCGTTCTCTCTCAGAGTCCCCAACTTCTGCTCCAGAGACATCTGACGTGCAGCAGCCTACAACACACACATGAATGTAACACTGCACATATGATGTGAATCTGAATCAGTTCTGGTGAATCATTTGTTCTGTTCAAAACGAACACACCAGCTGAGTCAGTTCTTCGTAGCGCGAGTTGAAGCTCTCCAGTTTCTCGCTGATGAGTTCATCCAGAATGCCTCCGTCTATGAGAGTCTGGGCCAGCTCTCGGATCTGAGTCCTGTTATCACCCGGATGACGCAGATCCGACTCCAGAGACTGAAAGAGAGACACATCAGGACTCCCATTTATGCCATGGACATACTTTTAACATCCGACTCGGTGTCCAAAACGCGATCCGATCACTCAATCAGACAATCAAAAAACATATGTGCTCACATTGTATTTGTAACATTTTAGGTCTGGTCATTTTGTGGGCAAAACAATCTATTGTCAATAATGTAGCAATGTATCACTTTCTGTTGATCAGCGCAGCAAATCTGTGTGAGCAGCTTGAACTTGTTGCCAAATAGGGTTGGGTATCATTTGAATTTTATCAACTCCAATTCCGACTCCATTCTTTTAACCACATTGGAATCGTTAAGAATCGAAGTCAAACATTTAGATATAAAACATATACAGTATGTGTCCCTGGAGCACAAAACCAGTCATAAGTAGCACGAGTATATTTGTAGCAATAGCCAACAATACACTGTATGGGGCAAAATGATCTATTTTTCTTGTATGCCAAAAATCATTAGGATATTAAGTAAACATCATGTTCCATGAAGATATTTTGTAAATTTCCTACTGTAAATATATCAAAACTTAATTTTTGATCAGCAATATGCATTGCTAAGGACTTCATTTGGTCAACTTTAAAGGCAATTTTCTCAATATTTTTATTTATTTTATTTTTTTTGCACCCTCAGATTCCAGATTTTCAAATAGTTGTATCTCGGGCCAAATATTGTCCTATCCTAACAAACCATACATCAATGGAAAGCTTATTTATCAGCTTTCAGATGATGCATAAATCTCAATTTCGAAAAATGTACCCTTATGACTGGTTTTGTGGTCACAATTATTCTGTGTCTCTTCTTGCAAAACATATAGTTGCTGAATACCAAGAACAAAATTCAGCAGGCTATACAAAAAACTGGATTCAGCTGTTTGTGTGCAAAATAGAGCTGCACAATTCTGGATAAATTGAGTTTTTTTATTTATTTACTTTTTTTTTTGAATGGAGCTAGTGGGTCTCTCAAGAGTCTGAAGAAAAAACATTAGACAACTAAACAAAATCACATGTAATTTTGAATGAATGATTCAATGACTCACTCAATATTTACTTGTTTTATCACTGGATGAATCAGAGTTTTTGAATGAATCTCTTGAATTAATGATTCAAAGACAAATACATTTTAACAGCCCCTTTTCGCCACCTACTGGTGTAACAAAGTAATCAATAAATCTTTATTTGAAGTGTCAAATTACTTTCAACAGGTGATTTACTCAAATTTGATCGCTACCGTACACATCAGTGTTTATTTCCAAACTACAATCTTCTATCCCCATACTTCTGTGATTATTTTAATGTTTATAACACAGAAATAATGATACTGTGCTGTTGAAAATAACTGTTTGTGAAGCAGTTTTATGATCTCGCCGTTATGATCGCACACGCCAAAGGTTTACCAGTTGAAACGTTGTCATTTAGGAATAAGATCACATTGGTGTTTGTGATCTTTAAAGATCTGTTAAGTTAAAGTGCTTTGACATGTTGGTGGTGACACCTCTCTTGCAACATGTTTAGCTTATCACAGATATTATACTTAGCTGCTACAGCTTCTGATCGAAGCCAAATATTGGAGAGTTTAGATTAGCGAGGAATGTCGGAATCGAAATTTTAATTTTACAACAAGTATCCGATTCTGGAATTGGAATTGATTTTCGATTCCCAACCCTATTGCGAAATCTTTCACCCTCACTTGAAATTCTCAATGACGTGGATTGATATTGAAATGACTGGATTTCGGCTGCAAAAATCTGTCGAACGTGCTAAACCACACCTTTAACATGAAAGCCGTTACCTCCAGAGCCTCGCTGATAGACTCTGTGTTTTCTGGGAGGTTTTCAGTGGCTTGAACTTTCTCCTCCAGTGTGTTCATCCAGCCAGACTCCGCATCCAGATACTGCAGCAGCTCGATCCAACAGGACCACACCTCCTGAACATCAGTACAAACACATCAGACCTCAGCTAAACATCCAAAGAGGAGCCAAACCACATCTGGAGCAGGGCTGTCAAATAGCAAGGCTTCCTCTATGTGTGTGTGTACCTCAAGTGTGTGGCACTTGCTCTTGAAGCGATCACAGAGTTTCTGGTAGTTCTGCAGCACTTCAGTGAGCTCAGGGCTCAGGTCAGGACCACCAGGGGGCGTCTTTCCAATCAGCACATTAATGCTGTCCTTCAAAATCTTTACACGCACTTCCTTCTGTAACACATCCTCTTTAGCCCTCTGAAACACACAGCAAGAGAGAGAACATGTACACAGAAGTCTTTAAGTAAGTGAGTATGTAAATAAATAGGAAGGAAGAAAATTATCATGAAAAACCTTTGGCACAATTATGCCGTTGACACAAGAAACTTGACTAACATTGTCAGAGCTTTAGAAAAAATAATAAAAAATAAAATAATACAGATAAAAAAAAAACTATAAATAACACATTCACAATAAAACAATAACACATTCAAAAAAAAAAATCTTGCATGATATCAAAACTATTTGGCATTTACAACCTGCTCGAAATTAGTTTTAATCATAAAAAGGTACAACTTTACATTATGTTTTACTAATAAATGTTTAACAAACAATATATAATGCTTAACAGACCACTTGTTTATGTATAATCAAAAGTAAAAAGTGTTATCAAAACAAACTATTTAAATCATTTTAATAGAAAATATTAATATATGTTGCCTTTGCAACTAACTAAAGATTAGTTGAAGCACTTAAATGACTAAAACTGAGAAAATAAAATTCAATCTAAATAGAGATATAAAACAAACAAAAGGCAAAAGCACATAAACAACATTCCTAAAACTAAAATTAAAATAAAAACAAAATATAAAAACACTAGTTCCATTAATAAATGCTATAATAGTATATAAATAATACTAAAATAGCATTGGAAAATACAAGTATAACTGTACATTAATACGCAACACAATATATAATGCATAAAATAATTAATCAATATTAATAATGAAAGTTATTATAGATCTGTTATTTTCAACCTACTCATACGCACCTTCATATCCTGCAGCGCCTCTTCCAGCTCCTCTGGGCTCTTGTACTCAAAGTCTCTCATGAGAAACTCCTCGTCCACTTGAATCATCCACTCGCGCATCTCCGCCACATCTTTCTTCAGATTCATCACTTTCTCCTGACCTTCACTCACACGCTCCTCACGCCTCAACAACTGCAAACAAAATCCACATAACGTGACTTATCCCAGAAGAACATGTTCCTGAATCAAGCCGGGTTGGGAAGTGGCTTACTGAAACTTAAACCACCTTGAACAAGCTCTTCCCTTGCTGTGTAGCTAATAGATGTTAAAGGGATAGTCCACCCAAAAATGAAAATTTGATGTTTATCTGCTTACCCCCAGGGCATCCAAGATGTAGGTGACTTTGTTTCTTCAGTAGAACACAAAGGCCACCTATCTCTCAAATGGACCATTGACGCTCCTAATTGAGATTGTAGATAGAGTGTCAATTGTCCATTTGAGAGATAGGTGGCGGTAATGCACTAATAATTCTGCGATCCGCCGTAAAGCAAGAAGAAGAAGAAGACACGTCACACACCGGCTTAAGAAGACGCGAACAGTTCAGGACAGTTCAGACATTGCAGTAATTCAGAGTAGTGCTGGGCGGTATACCGGTTCATACCGAATACCGGTGTTTATTTTTGTTATGACAGTTTCTTGCACAGACCGATCGTTTCGTGTCTTCACACATCAATGTATCGTCACGAGCCGCAGGGTTTAATTTGGTTTTGTTTGTGTATGTTTTACACTCTCAAAGCCGTGATTCCCATTCACTTTCATTATATGACTGACAGACTGCAACGGTTTGAGTTAAAAATCTTCGTTTGTGTTCTACTGAAGAAACAAAGTCACCTTCATCTTGGATGCCCTGGGGGTAAGCAGATAAACATCAAAATTTCATTTTTGGGTGAACTATCCCTTTAAGGCCATTGCATTCAGTGTTCTGTGTTTCTCTTTCTCACCTCTTTACTGAGCGTGTCCCAGCGTCTCTGACTGTCGTCCAGCTCCGTCTGCCCCCAGCTGATCAGACCCGGTCCTGAGCTCTGCTGCACGGCTGCCACGTTCTCCTTTATCTGCTTCAGAGACGAGGCCACGCTCTCCATCTCACTCAGCAGCTCCTGCACAGACAAAACTCAAACATCACTAACAACTCCAGAGAAACTCTAACGTTTCGGTTTTGCTGAGGAAATTGCTCAACCATCAACTTCAGCTGATTTCTCAACCAGTTTAAACTATGATTAGCAAACCAGTTCAACAAGTCCACCACCAGCTCAGCCACGGTGGTCAACCAGGACAACCCTGGACCTGTTGATAAACCAACTAAACCAGCGGCAAACAGCTAGAAACTATGTAAAACTAGCAGCATTAAAGACCCGGTATACTTCAAGCGAAATCAAAGAACAAACTAGTGTGAACAAAGTCGATCAAAGCTCATTTGGAGTTAGTCCATCAGACGTCCACAAGTAAAAACATAAGCACTGGAGAGCTGATTTAAAGCAGGTATTGAAGAGTAATTTTAACTGAAAGCTGCACTGACACTGCTTATTTAAGTTTAATACTGAAAAGTTGCTTGCTTTAAAGCAATCTATTGTATAACATGGAGTTTTGAATCACATGCTCATGCACGCAAATCCACATTGCTATGATCAGATGCATTCTTAAAAGGATAGTTCACCTAAAAATGAACATTTGCTGTTAATTTACTCATCCTCAGGCCATCCCAGTTGTAGATGACCATTTTTAAGATTTTTAATTGAAACTGTGGTCCTTGATAAAATGCAAATCAATGGCTACCTTCACTTTGAGAGTCAAAAAAAGCATATCAGGGAACACAAAATTAGTATTCATGGCTCCTGCCGATATATTAAGGTCTTATGAAGTGAAACGATCGGTCTGTGCAAGAAAATGAACATTATTTACAACATTATTACCTGTAATCCAGAGCCTCAGACAAACGGTCCGAAATGATGTTCAGTTTGTGAGTGAATCATTTTTTTTAACCAATTCTTTTTAGTGAACTAGTTGAACCAGTTCACCAAATCGGACTGAAGCGTCTGAAACCGTTTGCGGCTCGAGCAACATAGATCTACAAGTTCCTCAATCAAAACTCACTTTCAGATGCCTGACAGTCACTCTGACTCGAAATGAGCCCAAATAGCGGGGTATCTGATCCTGTGATGAATGAACTGATTCAGTGCTCCAGTTCCTGATGGAGACTAGTTTGTTCACATTATGTGCTTTAGACATGTAAAACATCCACGTTTCACATCATTGTTGGATGCTTTAATGATATAATTGCATATACGTATACATTGCATGATCACATGAACTAGTGAATTGAACCAGATGATTAAAACAAACTGTCCAAAAGAACCCATTCACAGAAAATTCATCAGATTTCCCTGTTTGCCTGAGGCTCTGGATTACAGGTAATGTTACAAATAATGTTCAGTTTCTTGCACAGACTGATCGTTTCGCTTCATAAGACCTCAATATATCGTCAAAAGCCACGGGTATTAATTGTGTGTTTCCTGTATATGCTTTTTTTTGACTCTCAAAGTGCCGGTAGCCATTGATTTTCATTTTATAAATCACCAAGAACAACGGTTTCAGCTAAAAGTCATCTGTTCTACTCAAGAAAACAAGTCACCTACATCTCGGATGGCCTGAGGGTGAGTAAACTAACATCAAATGTACATTTTCGGCTGAACTATCCATTTGACTGCTATTTTCTCACCGCTGTCATGTTTGTTGTGCATTTATTTTGTTATTGAGAGGAAAGTGTGCAACATATATTCACATATAACAGTATACCGCAGCAATAGCATGTCAAACTTCTTTTTTAGCCTTAAATGAAGAATGAAAAAGATCTTTGCTGTGAGTATATTGAGCCTTTTATTTAACTAGCTGGATTATTCGCCATTACTCTTTCACATGAATGACTTATTGAATGCGTTGACCTCTGACCTTGCACTGGTTGAGTTCTTCTTGTAGTTTGTCGCCGTGACTGAAGCCGCTGGCGTCTCGAGACAGCAGCTCCTCAACCGCATCCAGCCAGCGCTCCACCTCCTCACTCTTCACCTGATCCACATCAACACCACCATCAAAACACACCACATCCATGCAAAGACAAGCATCTCAATCAGGCTGATGGCACAGCTCTCACCTTTGTGTCCTCCATGCTACCCAGAATGCACTGCAGCATGCTGAGCTGATCCTGGGCGGCGGTGGAGAGCTCAGTCCAGGCCTGCTGCTCTGCTGCCTCCTGCAGCTGCTGCTCTATCTCAGCACAAAGAGCCTAGAAAACAGGCCAAACTACATTACCCAGAAGAGTCCTGCAGATTCACCTCTCCTCACTCTCAACCAGAGTTCACCAGGTCATACTTTAAATCATTAATACTCATAACGCTTACAAAACAGCATTATAAAAACAAAACAGCCACTGTAGTGACCAAGAATGTATCCCCTGCCAAACCATTACAGTTATGCTGTAAAGTTATGGTCTTAGGTAACAAATTATCTGATTTCAAGTAACAACAGTTTGATAAACTAGAGAATGGAGAACTATGGAGAAATATATCAATATAGTAAATAGAATCATGTAATACCAGAAAATGTATTATTTGCATAATACTTGACCACATTTGGGACACAAAACTGGGGTTATTATTGTTTTTTTGTTTTTTTATGTATCTGTTAAAATGTTTGTTAACTAAATAAATTTAAATTTAAAATATAAATTGATGAAATAAGATTTTTTTTTTTTTTACTAATTCAAAATTAGAAATGTTGCCCTGGCAACTAACTGAAATAAATTTAAGTGGAAGTACTACAATTACTAAAAATGAAATAAAAATAAAATGTATAAAAGCTAAATAGAAATATTAAAAAAACAAAATGACAAAAGCACATCAGAATGACTAAATAACTATGAAAATGAGAACTGAAAAATAAAACAAAAAGCTAAAAAATGATATTTTAATATTACAATTATTAAATACTAAATACTAATAAAAATTTGCATTACTAATAAATGCTAATAATAAATGACTAAATACTAATAATAAATTAATAAATACTATAATATTGTATAATACTAAGATAACACCGCACAAAAACACCGTTATCGCTGACTAAAAATGTTTCTGGAATTTATGCAGTAATTTAGTAAAATAAAATAAAATCAAATCAAATAATAAATGACATCACAGTTCACCATGACTGCATGCAAAGGTTAGCAAGCGTCTTTAAAATACCAGATAATGAGATAAAAAAAAAAAAAGGTGTTAAGTGTATTTTTAATTTTTTATGACATGGCAAATACTATTAAATTGAGACTTGGATATGCTTGGATATGCTGGTTTTGGTTATGCTTGAAAACTTATGTTTGATATGTAAACATATCTTTATGTTTAATCATATAATCATATAACTTTAATGCTTACTGTGCACATTCTTGAACTACTGCTGAAAATGTTTACCAATTCATTTCTACAAAAATAGCATGCACACATTTTTCCATGAAAAACCCATCTTGGAAATCCTTACTTATTGTTCACTCACATGCATGTGATCATCTTTAGAGCACTGTAATAAGATCATCAGAGTGCAGTTCTTCATTCACATCCACAGATGGAGACACAGCTCAACCCACAATCACCTAAAAACCCTCCAAAGACCACTTCCACTCCCACAGAAACAAGTCACAGCTAAAATAGGAGTTTCTGCTTATCACAGTCCATAATCATCTCTTGTGTATGACAGACACTACATATTCTGTCTGTTTGTGTGGGCTGGTGAGAACTGTGCAGACGGCCATCAGAAGCTCTTCTGTGCCACGTGGGCATCGCACGGCTCAGGCCAGAGACCAACACAGCAGAGTATAAATATTTATAGAACTTTAAACAAATGCCAGCCAGCGTTTGCTCACTTAGTTGTTGGTGTTCTTCCCATCATTCATGGAGTTAAAGAAACGCATCCAAAAACCAAACGCTAACGTCAGCTAAGAGACTGAACACACGGATCAAGCAGAGATTCAAACAGAGAATCAACATATGGCGCAATGCTAGACCAACACAATAGAAAGTGGACCTTCACCGCCTGTGAAATCTCACTAATGTCACCACACCTTTAGAATATTGTATTTTTGTAATTAACATTAAAGTTATTGTCCTTGATATGAACAGGCTTTAACCCTCATTGATTTACTGTAAAAGGCAAGAGTGACTTCAAAGACATACAGTATAAATCGTCTACTAAAGAAATTATCTGCGGCCAATCACACGTATTCAACGACTTTCATTTCAGGTAAATAGTCTCAATTCACTCGCCACTGGCAGGTGTGACTAAAACGGACTTGTAGACCCTGCATACAAGCATCCCTTTTACACACACACACACACACACACACACACACACACACACACCTGAG